TTATATACACACACATTTATATATATATATATATATATATACCTACATATACATACGTACATAAATACATATACTACTTACACAAACATACATAAACATAGTTGGCATGTGAACTTCTTCAATCCGAATGCGATCTACATAGAATTTGATCCCAACGCGGCAATCTTGCTCGATATGATATATCAACATTTATATTTCATGTTTTTGCCGTGTATGTGTCTTATCTTTTTGTTTAGTTTTGTCATATATGTGTCTTATCTTTTCGTTTGGTTTATCTATTTGTCATTAATTTCTACGGGTTCCCATGACCACTGACCAGCGGGCATGCCGTTGCAAAGTCTCAACGTGGCCATTCACGGTAGACTGATATGCGTGACATTCGTTGATGGTCTACTATTATCTGTGTTGCCATCTGTGATCTATACTCATCGATGACATCCATTTGTGGTGTACTGTTATTCGAGCCATGTACAAACTCACCGCTTCTCTGTGGTGCGATCCTCTATCACCGCCTATCTGACCCGTGACCTATTCTACTACTATCCTTCATGGGGTAAATATTTCGTGCGTATTTGTATGTTATTTGGCTGTGCTCTAGACTGAGTTATGTTATGTGCTACTGCCCATGTCTTAATGTGGGGCATAGACTGATGCATGTATGTTCATATTTGCGTTGGTATTGATTCGCCAGTCTATATTTGCTTATTATTGAGTCTGTTCACTACTTCCGTTTGTGATCTATGTGTGTGCATATGTCTCTGCATATGACTCTATATATCTTCTCTCTCCCCACTACTATACATCAATATCCCACTCGCCATGTCTAAGAAGTGCGGCAGTATCCTTTGTTGGAGCCGCCGGTATCGGAAAAAGTATTTGCGGCGGTACGTTATACGGCAAACCGCCCAGCTGATGTCCCAGTTATTTAAATCTGTTCAAACCAAAGGCAGCTGATCAATACAGGGTGTGTGCCGGCCGACAGTACAAGCGTCTTGTTTTAGGGCTATAGGGTTATAGAAGAAGAGCTCCAAGAGCGCCAACGAACAAAATACAAACCCACCGCAAGGGCTGCACATTCACCCAACTGGTACACCACCTAAAACCCTAGAACCCACGGAACACATGCACTACCTTACACCGCCCAAAACCCTAGAACCCAAGAAGCACACACACTACCTTACACCGCCCGGGCTAGCCCGACCAGAGATCCGCCGACGAGTGGCTGTGCAGGTCTTTGCCCTTCTTGATGTCGTGTTTGGTTTTGCGGTGCAGATCCAGGGCACCCTGACTGCCGTAGCCTTTGTCACACTCCGTGACATCGCACACATACGCACGCTCAATTTCTGACGGCGGACGTCTGTGGGGCAATTGAGTAAGGGGCACGGGATGAGAGCTGTACGATTAGCATACGGGTGATATGCACACAATCAAGCGTAGACACACCCTAACTAACTAAAAAAATGAAATAAATAACAGATTAATTAAACAATTGAAAAATAAATCCATGGAAGTATCCCATTTTCTTGGCAAAGATGAGACATGCCGAGGCCAAATGGTGGTGGTGGGGTGAGCCATCGCATCATTGCGTGCTTGCGTGGTCATAGCATGCGTTATCATTGCGTGCTTGCGTGATCATAGCATGGGTTATCCTTGCGTGGTCATAGCATGGGTTATCCTTGCGTGCTTGCGAGGTCAGAGCATGCGTTATCATTGCGTGCTTGCGTGGTCATAGCATGCGTTATCATTGCATGCTTTCGTGGTCATAGCATGGGTTATCCTCGCGTGCTTGCGTGGTCATAGCATGGGTTATCCTTGCGTGCTTGCGAGGTCATAGCATGCGTTATCCTTGCGTGCTTGCGTGGTCATAGCATGCGTTATCCTTGCGTGGTCATCGCATGCGTTGTACCTGATGCGCTTGATCTTCTTGCCGTCTCCTGTATCGCTGTCTCGCTCGCTGTTCTTTCTGCTGCGGCTGCCCCCACTGTTGCCACTGTGAATGTGCGCATACGCTGCGCCAGTGCTATGAGTCTCGTGAGGCCCTATGTGTGCGTGAGCGTGAGAATGTGTGTGTGACGGTGCGTGTGTGTGTGTGTGCTGCTGAGCATTTGCATGCGGTCTGTGGTCGGCGGCGGTGGTCGTATTGGGCGTATTGCTATCGCCCACAGTGCTATGCTGTTTGGTGTTGTTGCCGTAGGGCTGTGCCTGTGTGCAAGGCTGCTGCTGTGTGTTTGGGTTCTGTTCGTGGGGATGGTAAACGTCTTGCTGGGGCGTCATGTGTGTGTCGTGTGCAGCAGACATGCTTCCTGCATACACATAGGCCCCCTCCCTCCCCTGCCCATCCACACTCGCAGTCACCCCTGTGCTCTTGTTCTTGCTCAGCGCTATTGCGTTGTCCATGTGTGCGTCGTGGGCTGAGGTGTGTGCATGTGAAGTTTCCTGTGTAGTGCTGTCCGTGGACTGTTGGCTCCGTCGGCGCAGTTGTTGGTCGCCAGCTCTTCCGTCTGCAGAAAACGGAGTGGTGTGTGAGTGCGTGTGTGTGTGTGTATTGATGTGCGTGAAATGCAGAAAGGTCTGTAGAGGCGCGTGTGTGTGTGTGTTGATGTGCGTGTAATGCAGAAATGTCTGTAGAGGGTGTGTGTGTGTGTTGATGTGCGTGTAATGCAGAAAGGTCTGTAGAGGCGTGTGTGTGTGCGTGTGTGTTGTTCGCATATGATTGGGCTGGCGTGTGCAGTTGCGCGTGTGAGAGTGGTCGCATACCATCGCATCCGTCATCAAGCGCCTCCCCTTGCCTCCACTCTGCTTTCGCCCCATACACCCATCCGTCGTTGCCATGGTCACCGCTGCCTCGCCTCGCCTGTTCGCCCGCTTGACCCAGTTGCCTGCTGACGTTCGTGTCAGTGCCCGTTGTACTGACCTGTCCGCCAGCACCGTCCATAGGGCTTGTTCCTGAGGGTGCCGTGTGCTGTGGCTGCCCCCCCTGCCCTATACGGCTGTCTACAGTGTGTATTCCCCTGTCCACGTGGTTGTGGCTATTGGGTTCGTGGCTGTGGCTGTGGCTGTTGGGTTCGTGGCTGTTGTGGTCAGTTGTGGTGCGTGTGTGTGCCGCCAGCGCGTTCTGCAGCAAACGGCCCAGTGCCTCGGCACTCTCACTCGCGCCAGTGGAGGGTGCGGTGGTGGTATTCTTTGACTTCTGAGTGGATGTGCTGGTCATTGCTGCATCGTCATTTGATCCTCTGCTCCCGGCCCTGTTTCCATTTGTCGAAAAGTGGGAAAGGAAGTTAGCAAGCAAGCGACTATATTGTAGGGTCTTCAGGTCTGCTGCATAACTACTTATAGAAATTATTAGTGCGCCCACGTGTACTTTCATGTGAACAGCCACGAAAACGGCACACCAATATATTCACAAAAGCACACACAACACACACACACACATACATACATACACACACACACACATACACAGAGACACAGACGCGGACACATACAGGTACATACACACAGACACACAGACATTAGTGCACGGCAGCAAAGCACAGACGCTGGCACTCAGGCACCCTACACAGACAACCAGCCCACCGAAACACGCACACCCTTGACAATCACACACACACTCATACACCCCTACGCACATAATAAGCCCACCCGTACACACACACAACACAAACCACGCACGCATGCACACACACACACAAACGCGCACACGCATACCTGGCCGCAGCCGCCTTGGCAGTGCGTGGCCTACAGTTGGTGGTGCTTGCCTTGGCTTTTGGCGGGCGTGCGGCTGACGAGCCATTCGCCCCACTGCCTGGCGCCGCTTTTGCTGAGGCGTGTGTGTGGGTGTGTGGGTGTGGGTGTTGAATGGTGTCGGCTGGGTGTGCGTGTGTGCTGCTGCCCTTTCTGCGGTGCGTGGTGGATGCGGCGTGGCTATTGACTGTGCTGTTGCGGTGTGTCTTGTGGTGTGTCTGCGACGGGTGCGCGGGGTCGTGGGTGGTTCCCATGGCGACGGAGACGTCGTGGTCGCTCATCCGTGTCACATTTGTTAACGCTACGATACGAACAAGTGAATGGGGCGGATAGTTAGTGTGACATAAATCAAAGGACATGAGCCCATCTAATAGCGTTCAGATGTCCAGGAGGCGCAAGGATTGTAGGCAGGTTAGAGATGTGTGCGAAGGCAGCGACGGATTAAGAGAGATATGGCGTCTGTCGTGGCAAATGTGTATGCAGAGATGATAAGAAAAGCGTGTGGCACGCAATAAAAGGTGTATGCAGAAATGAAAAGATGTGTGTGTGCACGCAATAAAAGGTTTATGCAGGGATGATAAGAGAAGCGTGTGTGCACGCATTAAGCGGTGTATGCAGATGATAAGATGAGTGTGTGTACGTACACGCACTAAAGGTAAATGCCGAGATGACAAGATGTGCGTGTGTGTGTGTGTGTATGCGTGCACATACGGCAATGCGAGACAGCTGACCAATTCATGAGGGGTTGTACAAGGACTGGCAGCGGCCACACGGATGTGTAGGCGAGCCCTACACAAAACACGCAGAGCATGGAGTGTTGTTTGCTATGTCGTACACTTACAGATAATGTCTTGTGTTCTGAGCGTTATCCGCAACCAACTTACGCAAAGAAGTAATCATACATACGTGTGGCACTCGAGACACGCAACGTACGGTAATAAGAAAAACTGTTGCTGATAGTAACAAAGGCATAATAGCAGCAGATGATACCACAACCAACAACCAACAAACTGCACCAACAGCTATTGCCATCTCACTGAACTCACAGCGAAAGACAAGACAGACTATGAACTCAATGCACTACGTACACAAGACAATCCCACACGACCAATAGGGACAGGCGGCCTAATAGCCAAACGTACTATA